TCTCCATTCTAGCTGTCTATGTAGATGATATTATTCTAACAAAAAACAATGAAGTAGAACTAGTGCAGCTAAGAGAGTTCTTGCATTCAGAATTTAAGCTCAACGATTTGGGAGATTTACACTACTTTCTGGGACTTGAAATCCTTCGGGAGCCAACAAGAATAATAGTAAGTCAAAGAAAGTTTACTCTGAAACTTTTAAATGAGTTCAATTGTGATCATTTACCCCTAGTCTTTTCTCCACTCGATCCATCTTCGAAGTTGGATTTTTTCGCTGGTGATTTGTTAACTGATCCAACTTTTTATCGGACACTCCTTGGAAAATTGAATTATCTCACCCACATTAGGCCAGATCTCTCTTTCGCAGTTCATCATCTCAGTCAGTACATGTAACAACCAAGAGGACCTCATTTTATAGCTGCATTAAGAGAACTCTGATATCTCATGTCAAATCCAAGCCAATGCATTTTCCTATCTACTGATCTTTCATTCAAATTACTTGCTTTTTGCGATGCAGATTGGGGTTCTTGCCCCAACACTCGTAGATAAATCAGTGGGTTCTTTATCAGCTTGGGAGCTAGGATCCCCAATCTCATGGAAATAAAAAAAAGCAAGCATCTGTTTCTTTATCCTCTACTGAGGCAGAGTATATATCTATGAGAAGAGTTGTTTCAGAGATCACTTGGCTCACTTGATTACTCACAGATCTTAGAGCTAGTCCTTCAGTTCCGATTCCACTTCATTCTTAATAGCCTAGCCGCAATCCAATTTTTCATGAAAGAACCAAACATGTAGAAATTGACTGTCATTTTGTTCGGCAACAATTCCTTTCCATTTTGATTTCTCTTCAATTCGTCCCATCTTCCTCTCTTACAGACTTGTTCACTAAACCTTTATCGGGACCATCTCATCATTCAATTCTCGGCAAGTTAGGTCTTGCTTCACTCCCCTCCAACTTGAAGGGGGTGTTGGAATTGAAATTAACAAAGTTGATACAGATCAATAAACAACCATGGAAGAAGAGATAATTGATCAAGCTCTTACTGCAATGGAGCTTCACAATCAAATGAAAATCAAAGACAAACATAATCAGTTATTTGAATCTCAGATAGTCTACACTTCAAGTGGCCCAAGAAATAGAAGTTTCATAACCTTTGGATCAAGCAATATAAGTTTTAATCCTAACCATCCAAGCTCATTTAGAAGAGTTGATTTGGAGGCTGATTTGGACAAACAGGAAAGGGCCAAGTGGAAGCAGAAATGAGGCAACAAATAATCCAAATTTCCCTTGACAGATTTATTCAAATTCGGTACAAAATAGTACATACATAGTTGTCCAAAATTGGATTGTAGTGATAGACAATCAGATTCCATTTACGTATAGGAATACTTTTGTTTTCTTTTCTTTAGGTATTTTGTATATATACATCATAGCTGAATGAATAGAAAGCAAGAAATTTTTTCCCATTCTTAGTCTTTGATTTTCCACATGTTCTTTACTTGCAATGTAGTCAGTCTTGATAAGTCCTCAATGTAGTTTTTATTAATAAATAACAATCAATCTCTATGCGTTTTTTCATAGTACATGGAATTGACTGCTATCTACAAGATTGCCTTGTTGTCACCATACAATTCCATTGGCAACTGTACATCTACATGTAACTCTTGCAATAACCCCTTCAACCATGTTAGTTCTACAACTGTCTGAGTCATGCATTTGTATTCTACTTTAGCAGAACTCCTTAAATGATGTTTTGTTTCTTAGACCTCAAAGAAATGAGTGGGGTGCCTAGTTTAATGTAAAAATCAGATAGATTTTTTTGGACATTGGACATGAAGCTGAATCAGAATCACAAAAGGTCTCAATCTTCTCATTTCCTTTCTAGTCATCAATAGATTAAGTACTGGTTGACTTTTGACATACCTCACCACATGTAAGGCTACTTTATAATGAGATTTCTTTGGTGTATGCATGAATTGACTTAAGGATTGAACTACATATAAGATGTTCATGTCTTGTAATTGTGAAATACAAAAATTTGCCTAATAATTTTTAGTAAACTTCTCTGTCTTGCAAAAGCTCATCAACAGGATCAGTAGGAAAGCTCATATTATACACATTATTGGTTAATTTTAGGTTTTCCTCCATTAGTGTCAATTTAGATTTGGAACCACTCAATCCAGTTTCTGAGATCGTCTCGAAAACATACTTCCTATGTAACATAAGAATTCCCTCACTTGGTCTAGCAACTTTAATCCCCAAAAAATACCTTAGTTCACCTAAATCTTTCATCTTAAAGTTACTGTGCAAATTTATTTTTGCTTTATTGAAGATCATTCCACAAAAACAAGCAAGCCATCTGCATAGACATACATCAACACAAACCTACCGTTAGTGGACTTTGTAAAGAGGGAATAATCATGCTTGCTTTGTGTGAAGCCAAAGCTCATCAACGCTTGTATCAATATTAAGTTCTATTGCCTAGATGCATATTTCAAGCCATATAGGGGTTTAAGTAGCCAACAGACTTTAGATTTTCCATGACTACCAAAACCTCGTGGCAAGAACATATAATTCTGTTCAAAGAATCATTATTAAAAAAAAAACATTATTGACTTCCATTTGAAAATAAGCCAATGCTTAAGAACAACAATCTTGATCATAAGAGAAAAAATGTAATGAAAACCAATTTCCTTCTATTGAGTGCATCCTTTAGACACCAACATAGTCTTAAACCTCTCAAAAGTACCATCAACATGGTATTTCACACATTTAAAGCCAATCGGGACTTTGCTAAGAGGCAAGGCTACCACCTTTCAGGCGTAGTTGTGAGTAAGATAAAGGATCTTGAAAGAAAGAAGATGAAGAAAAGCTTGGAAATGTGAAGAGAGGTGAGCAAAAGAAAGATAAGATTAAAAACATGAATCTTTTCGAAGAGAAAAATGAGATTATTGTCCGATCTTTATCTGTGAATCCCCAAATATGCATCTTTAAGTGTTTCAACCAGTCTCCAATCTCTCAATAACAATATTTCAATTGTTCAAACTGGTGTATGTACAAAAGTAACTACAATAAAGCAACTTACTTCTGATATGAATTTACCGATTGAGCAAGATTCATCCACCTTTTTCACCTTTTTGAAATGATAAAAAGAACAAGTAGAAATAGAAGGACATACAAAAAAGGTAGGGATAAAGAAGGATAGACATTATCAATGAACTAGATGAATAGTTTAGAGAGTGTAACAGGTGTTGGGGAGGTTAAAGAGTTATAAGATAATTTGTAGGAGGAAGAAACGATGGAGAAGCAAAGGAAGGGAGATCATAGGAGGAAAAAATTGAGGATGGAGGAGTAGGATATGTTATAGAAATAAGAAGAAATTTAGAATATCCATGTAGAACAGTGCTAGGTAGCCTATTTATGATATATGTGATTGTAAGGATGTAATCACATCAGAATTTAAAAGGGATATTGACTTGAGATCTAAGAGTTCTTGCTATTTTCAAAAAGTATTTGTGTTTTCTTTCTACAATTTCATTTTCTTGTGGAGTGTGTCACACATGTGCTTTGGTGAAAGATATCTAAACAAGAACGACGACGGTTATTAAGAATTCATACATTGTCTAATTTCAAGGTTTTAATAGTGATGGAAAATTGATTTTCAATAAGGAGAAGAAAATCTTTTAATACAACATATACATCACTCTTAAGTCCCAACAACAAAGTCTAAGTCATACTAAAAGAATCATCAAAAAGAGTGGAAAGTATCTGAATCCATTATAAGTGATGACCATTTAAAAGTCGAAACATATACAAAGACAAGATCAAACATAGTAGTATATTTGGAAGTACTAACAAAAAATGGTAGCTAGTCTCATTGCTAATCGAAAAATATGACAATTAAGATGAAAAGTATTAGACAATAGATTAGTTATTACAGAAATCTTAAGCAACACAGATATGTGAGTATGTCCTAGTCTTTAATGTCATTAATGTGATTGTGGTGTGAATACTTTACTAAACATGCACTTGGAAGAAGAAATAGCACATGTGTTGAAGGATTGAGGATGTACAGGTCACTCTTATATTTTTATTAATACCCTTTATTTTGCCACTGAAAAGGTCTTGAAACATGCAAAAACTTTATAAAAGAGTATTGAGCTAGCTACTAGGTTACCATTGCTGAACTTAGCTTATTCAAGCTTGAGAACAAATATTTTATGTATTGAATTCTTCAGATTGAAAAATGAGTACAAAAGATCTTCTCTAACTGACCATGTCTACAATTTACTATCCATTGTCATTCTCTAATTGGTTGACTAAATAGCTAACTACTAACTAATCATGTACTGTTAAATTAGGTCTTAGGCCTAACTTACACCCCAAAAGCTAGCTCAAAGGAAGGAGAATTGCCCAAGCCTTATAAGGAGTCTACTCATCTCATTAACCACCAATGTGGACTTTTTTAATACCCCACCTCATCATGCCCATTGCTTAGCATTTGGTGCGTTGGCAGTTTTGGGTAATTTTTTGACCCACCTCGCGCCCAGTGCTTAGTATCTCGTGCGTGGACATTTTTTGGGCAATTTTTAATTTTTTTTTGGACCTCAACATCGGGTGAGATGGGTCCTAGTCTGATACCATATGAAATCAGGTCTTGGACCTAACTCACACCCCAAAAGCTAGCTCAAAGGGAGAAGGATTGTCCAAGCCCTATAAGGAGTCCATCTATCTCACTAACCACTAATGTGAGACTTTTGTTATTCTTTAACATGTACAAATGTTCATCAACTACTTTACTAGTTTTCCATCAAAATCTACAACCTTAATTTGGAAGTAGATACAAACTAAACAACCATCAAGTGTGAGGAATCCAATTTTGTGACATACTTTCAGGAAAGGAAATTCTCTAGTTAAATAAGGAATGAAATAAACCATGTCAATTTCAATATTTTTGTATCAATATGTAATGATAATTATAATTAATTAAGAAATCTGACCTCCATGTGTTGTTCCACTTCAAAAGTGTTAATGTTGATCAAGGTTTCTTTTGTATATTCACGATATCTGTCAATTGTCTTTTGCATGCTGAATTATTCCAAGAAGATAAAGTAATTATTAAGACTTCTGTAAGGTAAAACACGTCCCAAACATGAAAGATATATTGAACTAGGTAATATGTGTAATTAATGGATGTTATATATATTTGATAATTAAAATTATTTATTTTTCTATACATTCCATGTTTATGGGGAGAAAATATTTATGCCATGTAGTTCCTCTTTTGAGAATTTAGCTCATATTTGTGCTTAAACACTTTTTATATACTATTGTACACTTTTATACAAGATTACAATATTATGTATAATACTTTCTCAAGTATGATATTGTATAATGTCTAGAATATTATAGGGATAAGGTATAAATATTCCCTAAATTATGACTGAAATCGCAGAGACACACCTTAACTAAAGTTATAAGGTCTTATTACCCCGCTGAACCAATTTGTTTTGTAATTTTGTAGATCTTTTTGGCTTGCGTGGAGTCACGAAGTGTGCCACGTAAGCCAAAAGGTGTACGAAATTACAAAAAAAAATGAGTTCAAAGGGTAATTGTAAGTTTTGGGTCGTGGATCGCCCATGCGGAACGAGCCGACCCGACCTAATCTGTTCCATGCCTTATCCAAATTAATTAATTAATAATTAATTGGATAAATCATTTTAAAGGATAAGGCAGTTCAACATCTCCTTAAAAGACTCCTAGTGGGAGTGTTTTCCTAAGGGGTGTGAAACGTGAAAAAAGAGAGAGGAAACGAAAAAAAATACAGAGAAGAAAAACGTTTGAAAATTAGTCAAGAAACAAAAAAGTGTGTTTCTGAGAAAATAATCAAATCAACACATAAAAGAAGACTTTTAGTTTGTGATCAGATCTTTGTTTTCTAGTGATTCAAAGACGGACTTGAGCATCAACCTTTCAAAGAAGCAGATCAACGACTTCCACTTCGAATTATAAGGTACACATCTCGTTGTTGAATAACCTTAATATTCCATCAATGGTATCAGAGCCATTGTTTATGATCTCATCATGTGTTGCGTACTTGAGAATTCATTGCCTATGTTTATAAGAAATAAAATAAATTCTATGTCTTTTAAAATCAGTGAATAGAAAAATTGAATGATATTAATTTTTCATAATGCTTAGATGTGGATTAATTTTATGTGAAATAGGATTCAGAATCCTATTTGATTTTCAATCATAAAATAGATAGGATTTCTTCTCCTACTAAGAAATAAATTCTATTTTTAATACTGCTTATGTTTTAATAGTGATCTGAAAATAGAATGTACGATGTTTAGGTCGAAATTTCCTTTCTTTTCATAATCAGCTCGTGCTTAGCTTTTCGAAAACTTATTATAATGGAAAAACAGAATTATAACGAGTGAGATATGAATTATTAAAAAAATTGGATATTTTTTTTTGTTTTCAAAAAATTGCATCTGTCTAGAGCAATCTGAAAATTCGTTGTGCAGTTTTTGGGTGGAAAATTAGATTATTTGTATGAACTTCACGTTTTAAGCTTTCTGAAAACATATTATAACAAGGAAACCGACTTAAAACGATCAAGATATGAATTTTTTCAACAAATGACTGGAAAAAAAACATATTTTTTTGAAATTTTTTATTATTTTTATATGTCCTCTTTTAGGATCTTATTGTTCTTGAGTATTCGAATAGTCTTTATGTTCCTTAAACAGTTGCTTGACATTATGAGAAATTTGTGACATATGTTGTCACATTAAATGATATTAACCATATTTTAGTTTGTTCCCATTTCAGATATGGTTGAACGGGAACATATTCAAATTACTCCAAGTGGGAGTTTTCAAAGTATGTTAAGAAAAGGAAGGGTCATTCGGAGACAAATAGAAAACAATCTAAGAGAGTTCAATTCTTAGAAGATGGATCCCCATGGATGCTTAATAGAATTTCTCCAGAACTTTGTCATGAAATTTGAGAAACTTTATGAAAGTCACCCTCAAATTACAGATAGTGAAGGATATGCATGATTCCTTGCCAGAATTCTGGAAGAATGAACTTAATCAAGTTAGAATTGAAATTGGGAATGACGAAGAATTATGGAAGTACTATGTAAAAATAGGAGTTAAGTGGGTAAAGCTACACCCGAAGTGTATTCACATACTCCATTTTTTTATCAGATTAGTTTTATTTATTATTTTAATTTTATTAATGTATGAAATGAACATCTTTTATTGTGCTTTGATATGAATATTTAAGTTTTATTTTATTGAATAAGTGAATGATTATTCTATTGCGCAATATAATAAGGTGTTTAATTATTAGACATACATATCTGTGTGGTTATAGTCTAAAATAAATAATTGTACACATGAAGAAGTTAATTTTAAATTTTGGTTAAATATTTGATTCGTAGATGATGATGGATGCTTACATGTCTTTTCGATTTTACATTCAAATGTGACATCATTATGAGAATTTATTTACTTGAATGTGTATGTCGCATGCATAATTGTTAAAATTCTTGCCTAAAGATATGTCAATAACAGACATAGTATCAAAAGTATCATTACTGACTTAAACAAAGGTGAAAAACTTAGTGGTAATAATTACGACATCTGGAGTCGTAATATACGATATATGCTGAAAGAGCAAAAATGCTCTGGGAGGTATAAACCATGTATTGAATCAACCAAAAGAAGGTAATACTACACAACACCTTAGGGTGATGTCAAACATGGTAACTTAACTCAAGAGTGTTGGCCATGTTCTTTCAGATAAACAACAAGTTCAAGCAGTGATTCGGTCTCTTCCCAATAATTGAAAACATTTGAAGGTTAACTTGACCCATACTGATAGCATCAAAACTTTTTTCTGATATTGCATGCCATGTTGAACTTGAAGACGAGCGCCTTGGTGCTACTAAAGCTGCTTCTAATGCCTTTGTGGCAGAGTCAAGTGGTACAAAATCTTCAGGCTTCAAGCGCAAGAAAAATTAGAAAAGAAATGGGAAAGACAAAGAGACTGGAGAAGGACCCTCTAAGAAAAATAAGAAGCCAAACTCCAAGAAAGGAAAACGGTTTTTCAAGAAGAGAGACGAGCGAAATGAAGTGCTACAATTGTCGAATGTTGGGGCATTTCACTTTTGAATGCAATGAGCTGAAAATGTAGCATTTCGAAACGCATCTCAAAGTGCAACATATGGTTTCAAGCACTTCTTTACAAGCTGAATCTTATCCTATATAGATTGTAGACTCATGATCCATCGACCTCGTGAGTCGAGATAGAGAGGCGTTTGTGGAGTTTCGTCGAGTTTCATCTAAATCAAAGTGGATCTACGTAGGAAATAATGCTAGGCTGGAAGTCAAAGGTATAGGCACTTGCAAAGTGGACTTGCGTGGTGGTCGTTCCTTGATGTTGCATGACGTCCTATATACTCCATATATTCGACGAAACTTAGTGTCTGTGTCTGTTCTTTTAGACGTTGGTTTTGATTTGTTTTTTAGTTGTAATGGTGTTAGAATAACTCTAACTAATGTTTTATATGGTTTTGGACTTCGTTATGATCGTTTTATCGTATTAGATTGTAATCCTTCAACTTATGACTATTATGTTGACCGTTGTGTAATGGCATGTTATTCAAGTAACAATGATGTTGATATTATTACATGGAATGCTAGATTAGGTCACATAGGGCAAGATCGAATGAATAGGTTGGCAAAAGAAGGGCATTTAGGTTCTTTCACCAAAATTGAAATGCCAACTTGTGAAAATTGTCTTGCTGGAAAGATTACGTGTAAACCATTTGGAAAGGCTAAGAAAGGCTAAGAGAGCTGAGTTCCCATTTCAATTAATTCATTATGATATTTGTGGTCCAATGAATGTAAGGGTAAGGTCTAGTGCTACATATTTCATTACATTTATTGATGATTTCACGCATTTTGGTTATGTCTATTTGATTTCTCATAAATCTAAAGCACTTGAGTGCTTTAAAAGATATTTGAATGAAGTTGAAAATCAATTAGATAAAAGCATAAAAGCTTTAAGAACCGATGGAGGACGTGAATATTTGTCAAAATAATTTGAAGAATTATGTACTGAAAAGGGTATTATCAGACAATTAACTACTCCTTATACACCTCAACAAAATGGTGTAGCTGAAAGAAGGAATAGAACATTATTAGACATGACAAGATCAATGATGGCGCAGACAAATTTGTCTATCTCTTTCTGGGGAGATGCATTATTGACTGCAACTTACATATTGAACATAGTGCCTTCTAAGTCAGTGTCTTCCACTTTTTATGAACTTTGGACTGATCATAAAACAAACCTGAATGATCTACGACCGTGGGGTTGTGCGACATATATTAAAGACCGTTTTGGTGAGTTTGGTAAACTAAGTCCAAAAGGAAAGAAATGTATCTTTATAAGGTACTCTGAACGCTCTAAAGGATATGTGTTCATCGATGAACTGGAGGATGGAAGTATTACTGAAATTGTATCATGAGATGTTAGATTTTTGGAAAATGATTTTCCCAAAAAAGGGTGAAATATGTGAAGTTGAACCTCTGTACGAAATGTTGAATTCAGAAGATCAGGTAACGTTGTCAAACATACTTGATAATTCAATGGATCAAGAAATGATTCCTGGTTCGAGTGGGAGTTATGAATTTCAAAATCCTATACAGGAATCTGAACTTCAAAGACGTAAGAGTACAAGAAAAGGTGTACCTAAACGATTTTATGAGATTGAGGATTATGTTTTCCTGGTATCTCCCACAAAATTGGATGAACCTAATTCTGTAACTGAGGCCTTATCGAGACCTGAAAGGGATGAATGGTTAACAGCGATGAAAGAAGAATTAGAGTCCATGAAAACCAATAAAGTCTAGGATCTAGTTGACCTTCCAGAGGAACGTAAAGCTATTGGGAATAAATGGATTCTTAAAGTTAAACGTAAATCGGATGGGTAAATAAAAAGACACAAAGCACGATTGGTTGCAAAAGGTTTTACTTAAGAAGTTGGAATATACTATGAGAAAACTTTT